TAATTTAAATAAACAAACAATTATATAGTTTTAAAACATTATATATATATATATATTAAAATTTTAAAATTATTAAATTTTTAATGAGAAAGACTAAAATTGCACAATTATGATATTTGAGAGATTAAAATTGTTCGATTAAAAATTGTGAGACTAAAATTACACAACTAAAATTTTTTAAGGACTGAAATTACTCGATTAAAATCTTTGGGATCAAAATTGCATAATTATAATACTTGAGCGATCAAAAACACAATTAAGCAAAGAATATCCTATTCTCAGTTTTGGAACGGGCCGTTCTGAATTCAGAACGACTCGTTCTGAACAAGTTTTTGACGGGCCGTTTCGAGACTTTGAAACGGCTGTTCCAATTCCAGAACGGCCCGTTTCGAACTGAAGAACAGCCCGTTCTGATCTTGGAACAACCCGTTCTGGGCTACTTTTCAAAAAGCGTTCACTTGCGCCCGGCGCAATTCATTTTTGCGCCCAGCGCAATCAGTTCCAGAGAGTTCTCTCTACTCTCTGCGCCCAGCGCAATTCTGTTTTGCGCCCAGCGCGAATGACTCCAGAGAGTTTTCTACACTCTCTGCGCCAGGCGCATGAATCATAAGCCTGACGCAATTCCCCTCTGAAACCCATATTTTTGTTGTTTTTAGTTTCTTTTTAAATTCCAGTTTCAGTCTAAGACTAGCTCTCTTTGAGTGAGTTGCACTGGTCATTATTGTATTTTGTCTGCTCATGATTGTCTGCCTGGAATTTTTGCTTATTTTCTGCAGATGGCTTCCTCCAGTAAGCGCCACCGTACAGGGAAATCGGGTCAGCCCTCGCGCAGGCCGAGTCGACCCTATTCCGACCTCTTTCTGACAGAGCGCAATGAGAAGCATTTCGAGTCCACCAGTGCTCGGAAATTTATACTGGAGAGGCGGGTTGAGCTGGAGCCAAATGAGGCTCCCGAGTTTCAAGCTGAACTGTGCAGGCGCCGATGGGACAAGCTCGGTTCCTATCCACTTTCGGCCAACATAGCTGTGGTCAAAGAGTTCTACACTAATGCTCTGAGACAGGAGGGCCTTGCCCCATTCACTAGCTATGTTAGGGGTGTGCATGTCCCCTATGACGCTCGGACGATCAATGAATTTCTGGGGACTACACTGAGGGACGATGAGCAGAATAAGTACGACAACTACAGTCACACTACTATGGATCCTGATGTGGTTGAGGCTGCCATATGTATGCCGGGACGTGGGTTCCACAGGAACCGAGCTCAGCAACCTCTGCACGTGAAGCGCAGGGATCTTCTACTGGTGGTTAGAATTTGGTCAGCCTTAGTGCATGCTAACATTCTCTCGTGTTCCCACGTTTCTGACTTGCACTGGACTCGGTCCATGCTTATGTACTATATCATGACTCAGAGGACCGTGGATCTGGGGGGCATTATCTGCATGGAGATCTCTGGCTGCGCCAACTCTGCACCTGGCTCAGCACTAGGACATCCATCCCTCATCACCCAGTTATGTCAGCTTGCCGGTGTGGATGTCCACTCGCCGCCTTTTGAGGGTCCTGGCAGGGCCATTGACAGTAGATACATCTCTGCCTATTGCCAGGACCGCGCTCCACCAACAGTCCCTGCCCCCGAGCCTATTCATGCTGCTGGGCCCCAGGAGGACGTGCCTATGGATGAGATGCTGTTGTCCCAACCCCTCCACTCACTATCCATCAGCGTTTTGACGCCTTGGAGGGTCGCATGGCCACATTCATGCAGCGCCAGGAGGACCGCCTGGATACTTTTATGCAGAGGCACGAGGGCCAGATGGAGTCTCTCCACCGTGGACATACCTTCATGTTTGATG